TTTATTTTCTATAACACAAAGTAATCTTTTTTGGAATTTATTTATGGAAATCAACAATAATTTTTGCTGGTAGTGTGCCGACACATTTAATAATTTCCTTAGATCAAGATTATTATACTGATTGTTAACATATATTTTAAACATTAGATGCTAAACATTCTCAATTATATTTAGTTAATAATTATAATCAGTAATGTATAAGGTCACTCGAGGACATGAATGTTTTTCTTGTTAAAATAATGTGTAGTAATTTCTGCGGTATAAACAGCAAGGCGGTCTTGTTGCCATATCCACTTATTGTTAGAGACAAACTCATTACAAAATGATAAACAGTTGTCTTTAAGTAGTTTAAATACTTCTCTGCATTGTAGAGTCTATCGAGAAATTTTATAATTAATTTTCCTTTACTGCTGATGGCTCCCAGAATCACCGCCTTTTCTTGAAGTCCAGCAACATTTTTTCACTCCTCGTTCAAAGCATAACTTCGTATTATCTTGTCTATTAAAACAAACGTTTTTCCTCACTAAAAATAACATTCTGGAAATCGTTGGCCAGTTCCAAATGTCCAAATTATATTTAGCAAATTGTAATTATTTTGTCTCATGGGCTCCTGCGAGTGAAAGATTTTTTTTTGTTATAACTTCGTAACACAGAGACAAAATGCCTCCGAATTCACCGCCTCGGCTTTGGAATGCCCGAATCTTTAATGAGTCGATTATTTATTTACAACCGTAGCCTACGAGATTTAGGCAGGCCGGAAAATTAGATAACGAATTGGAGCAGCACAATAGTTCAATTCACTACTACAAGAATCATTTCTAAACGATCCTCTTTGAATAACGTCAATCTATGTTCAATATTAAATTAGTAATAAAATCTTTTTTTTTAAACGTAAAAATCCAGCAACAAGTTGCTTAACTTTCCCGGTAACATTTAAAATTATCTGTGGATCCATGTTTTAATATTTTAGTTAAAAATATAAGTTTTTATTATTATAAAATGGCAAAAAGCTTAATTTTGAGAGCTGGGATAGGTTTTATAAAAAATATTGTAAATGTAATAACGTCATTGAGTCCGATCATACTCGAGATAAGACACACGACCTCTTTTATCCCCGGCCGGATGGCCGACTGGTCAAGGTGGCAGCCTACCGCTCTGGGAGATCCCGGGTTCGAATCCGGACAGATCGATAAATCCCCAGGAATTTTTCGGGGGTTGTCCGTCCGGATACGTCGGGCCCCGCCCCTCATTGCTGGCCTGGCCGAAACCATAATGGGCTTGCTGAAAGAAACCCTCTTAGTTCCAAACTGGCGGAAAGAAGAGAGTTAAAAAAAACAGCACCTTTATAATGCAGTCTTTTAATTCAAAATTTACTAACGTTTTTGGCCATTTTGAAAGCCCTTCGTCAGGAACAGAACAATCGAAGAATTCTGATTTCAAAACAGATATTTGTTTTGGAACTTTCAAAATGGCCGAAAACGTTAGTAAATTTTGAATTAAAAGGCTGCATTATAAAGGTTTTTGTGTGTCGATGCGTAAGTATTAATTAAGTGCAGTTAAAGAAGAATTTAAAAAACAGCAGAACACCAAAATATTTTTTGGTGGTAGATTATTTTTCTTGTAAGCACTGATATTCTTTTTTCCGATTTTCATTTTTAATGTGAAAAAAATAAATTTTCTGTAAAAAATGTACACCCATGTCTGTATAATTCAATTTTTTTTTATAATAAATTTTTAAAAAATTTTGAGCAATGCATAAAAAATTGAAATTCTTATTTTTATGGTATAGAAAACGAGCATAGAATATTGTGACATTGTCACAATGCCGGGTTTCAATTTTTAATCATTTTTAATTTAAAATGTGTGCTCTCCATCTCAAATTAGTGGCTTGCCCCTGTACATCATACTTTTCCTTTAGCAGTTGAGTCGTGCTGCATCTAACTCCTTTCAGGGGGGAATTTTTGAATTGAAACAACATGACTTCCTGTTTGCATCGGAAGTTCGTATATAGTTAATCGGGACTTCCTGCCCCTAAGGTTTCCATAGCAAGTCTGGTTTATCATCTTTCTAACACTGTTTCGAGATTAAGGAAAGACGAACGGACAACAGTGGGAATTCATGGGTCTACAATTTTTTTTCAAATTGCAGCCCAACTATTAACAGGAAGTGGTAGTGCTATAGAATTAAGTAATTTTTTTAGGCGTCTGGTAAATAGCATTCAGTTCGTTTTGAAGGGTTAGAAGTAGAGAGGCCAACTTTGGCATTGCATATGTAAAAAAATGTCACCAATATAACTATTTGAAATACTCTATACGCATTAAATTAACATATACAATATATTACACATTTGTTGACTACCTGTATATTACAAAACATTAAATAGACAAATAAATAGTGTTTTAAACTGAATGTCAGAAGTATCACCAATTGTTACACAATGTTATCCTAATTAAGTCTAAATTATATGTGCTTGTCAGACTGATTATTAATCTTTCTCTTTCTATTACTGAAGTGAGTAGTAAAGATGAAAGAACTACTTTAGGTAAGAAAATAAAGTATTGGAACGTCATCTGTCGGATAAAACTATTTCAGAGATAACATGCAAGACTCCAGAAATATCCTGGAAACACACTAAAATCTAGAAACCACTAAGTTTGTTAATATTTTAAAATATTTTTATTTTCATTAAAAAAAAAAATAATAAATAAATATGGGAAGAAAACCCTTTTCTTAGAAATAAGACAAAGGAAAATTAGACAATCTAAGTTTAAATGTCGATTTTGGCTCATCCCGTGATCTAAGTTGAGATCTTAGTAACGAGTGACAACCACTTAGAAAGTGAGGATGAGGAAAGGCAACCAATCAGAATGGGTGGTTAAGGACATAAAATAATAAAAATTAAAAATTTCAAGGACAAGAAAGTATCTCTTGGAATTCTCATACTGCAGTCTTACTTAGTTGCATTCTCATCTCATCTTTACTCTAACTGGACTGACCTCACCTTCTCTATAGACTTATCACCACCCCAGGGCAAAAGAGGAAACTGAAGGATCCTTCCCTCAGGACTCGTTAAAAAGAACCAGAAGATTTACAGTTTTCACCTGCAGAGATATCCAAGAATATTATTGCTGCAAGCTTTTTATGTGTGTATATATGTGTTTAAAATAAATTGAGACAATTCTTTTGTAAGTGTTGAGTCTGACTTAATGTCTATCACACCCACATACGAATAGTCATCTCTCTTCCATTCTGACTTGAGCCTACAACTCAGCAACCCCATACACAAAATTAAAGACAGACAAAACTAACCAAATTAATAAAAAAATTCTTGAAAAATGCATGCATATTCTGAAGAATATAAATATGCAATTTGTTCACTTGATACATCACTCAATACAGCATTGAACATTACAAATTGTAATATTCTATTTCCAGAACATTCTCTATACAATAGAATTTAAGTAGCATAGTTAAACATTTATTTCTATAAAAAGGCATATATTTTCAGAATTTATGATGATCTAACTGGATTTAGTTTTCAGAATTCTATTTTTTTTGAACAAATATCATATCAAAAATTTAAGTTTAGCTAACAAAACTTCCAATATAAAAACACATCAGATTGGCTGGACAACTTAGCTCACTCTATATAATATGGCTATTTACAGATTAAAAATATAGAAAAAATTCAAGATATAAAAATTATAATATGCCAAAAATGTCAGATATAAGAAAATTATACTTGTTATCTAATTCAAATTTGATTTGAAAGGATAAGAATATAGTGAATAAATATGATAATACTTTAAAAAATAAAATAAAAAGATTTTACATATTAAACAATAACTTATTGTTTATATTTTAAAATTGTGAATTATATAACTTGAATTATTTAAGCATGAATATATACATCTGAGATTTAAATTTAAAAACAAAAAAAGATTATTATACAGATATGTGCCACTTAACAGACTGCACATACAATAGAGGTCCCATAAGATTTTAACGAAAAATTCATCACCATCCATACTCTGTTTAGATACAACTGTGTTACATACAGCCTATATTAGTAGTAGGTTATAATGTAAGGTTTGGCTAAATACACCACAAAGTTTGTTTAATGATGTATTTTTTGGAATGTATCCATGTTGTTAAGCAGCATACACACATATACAAATGTAATTAAATTTCAAATTAATAAAAAAATGACAATAGAAATTAATACTTTTGAAATACCAGTATATCAAAAGATATCAAAATTAATACTGAAATTTTTAATAAAATAAAAAGATTGTAGAAATGGTTAAAGTGACTAAAAACACTTATAGTAAATATTTTTAACCAATTTCATGTTTATTAAATAATTTATTTAAATATGTTGTACATTTACAGCTTCATTTCGGACCAGTAACAGCATTCTTATTAGAAAAACAAGTTTTTTTTTCTTAAATGCTACAACCTTCATGTGTTTTGGGCAAATCAGTGACTGACAATTCAGTATGAAAGAGAAATGTGGAAGAATATGACTGAAGGAAGATAACACTTCTACTACGGTAAAGCAATTATCCTTTTTTTTTGTTATTGAATCCTTCCTTAAAATTTTGTTCTAATTTGGTGGAAAAGAATCCAATTTATTGAATAATTATTTCATGTGAAGATTGACTGTATACATATGTATGCAGTATATTTCCTGATTACACTGTTAAACCAAATTAAGTAGAACTGCCTTTAAATATGTAGCAAAGTTACTGATTATAGATTTGCCGAGAAAATGAAGACTCCCGGTTTAGAAGTAGCTGCCATTTAAATATACCTAATGGTGAGATGAGGGATAAATTTCCCACCTTACACTGCGTGGAAAAGGAGAGAAATGATTTCTTGCCAATATTTACATTTTATAAAGAAGTGTTTCTATATGTATGTATGTATGTATATGTATATATGTATATTTGTATGTACTCATGTATATATGTTATACTTATTATGTTTATGTATACATAGTGTGTGTGTGTGTGTGTGTGTGTGTGTGTGTGTGTTATTATATTTATGTATTTATATTGATTTATATTGTATATTAAAATTTATTCTACACGCATAATTTTATATTGACTTGTGTCTGTATTATTTATTTGATATTAATCATATGTATTGCTTAGTATATATGTATTTAAATTTATTATTTATTTATATATATATATATACACAAACTATAGTTTTTGTTTTATGTACGTATGTTGTGTGTGTGTGTGTGTGTGTGTGTGTTTTGAATATATGCCACTTCTAGCTATATCAAACTAGAAATTAATGTCATGGTACTTTATCATTTTTAACAAGTAATTTTACATAATTTGTTTGCACAGGTTTATGAATGGCTAATAGATTAAGTGCTTCATCGATAGTGAACCATTTTCTTTTACGACCTGAAAAGAAAAAAAAAATTTAATTTTTAAACTTTTTTTATCCTTAATAATAATAAAATTAATAATTTCTTTGTTTATTTTTAACATTAAAATTTTATAACATTTTTGTTATTCTTTGTATGTCTTAGTCCCTTAAAGTCATAAGACAAATTAAACATTATATACTCAAACCATCTACAAATACTTAGATCCATCATTGACTAACATTACATATAAAATATAATAATAATTAAATTTTTTATATCATATCATATATTTAATTGATTATTAAAATGAATCAATCAGTAATCTTTTACACAAATTAAGATCAAAGTATGTCATAATAAGTGAAGTTATATTTTTATAATAATAATTGAAAATATATAAGTGAACAAATTAATGTATAAATATTAAAATTTATACGTCATATAATTTATATTTTATTTAATCTGATTTGAAAAAAATCTAAGCCAGTCTACTAATCTTATTTATACAAATTATTTAATGTAAAATTGAATACAATTTTTTTGCAACTTTCTAAAAAAATTCATGAAATGGCACAGAAAAATTCTTCCAAAGATTAAATGTCTTTGTCTTGGTAGATAGTTAATATTTAACTAATGATATATTCTGGTCTAATTTGTTACTAATTCTATTCCCATCTGCTGAATATTTAACAATTTAATAAGTTTTAGCCAGTTAAATAATTTGAAGATCAGCAAATTATGATCTTGCTCACTTTACAATAAGAAAAGCATTAGATATAAAATCAATTTAAATTCTTAAAACCACCAAATTTAAACTTTATATGATTTAGATTGATTCTAACTGCTTTTTGAATTATATAAATTCTTATTGATCTGATAATGCTGTATTATATTATTGATAATTTAAGTCTTATATATTCAAATCCAACACCATAAATTGCTTTTCCAAATCTTTACAAATGTATTTATTGAATGTTAAATCATTAAATATTCAAATATAAACAACAAAAATTTCACTTTCTGTTAGTAATGAAACATAATATAGGGTTTATGATGAGGAAATATAAATATAGTACTTTGGAAGATGATTCCATAAACTGTAACAAGGAGTAAAAAAGTCTGGAAATTAACAGTTGAGAAAAAGGCATGACTGTTTTAATGGACGTAAATACTTTTAATTGTAAAAAGAGAAGACACTGAGGTCGGCGTTACGTGTGCGTTTTCTCTTCTCTTTTTACAATATAGTATTTTGGCGTGATCGTCAGCATATTGACCAATACTTTTAACATTTAAGGTCTCCACATCAAGCTCTGCTGGATTACTGCATATGGGGGCTTGATGAAGGATGGTTTATACTAAGAATAGATGGACTCACATGATCGGCTTATTGTCCAAACAAGAAATGCCGCTGCAGTTATCACAGTATGCACTTTTAAGAAGTAAACACAGACAGTAGCAGATCTACTATGAAATTAATGAAGCTGAAGTTTCAGGATCCCTAATCCAGGAGGGGGTCTTAAAGCAACTTTATTTTTTACTTAAAAAAATTCCATTAAGTTTGTTAAAGTGTTCGTTATTAAAATAATCCAGTACAGCAATTTTAATCAAAATCTGAAATGCAATGATTAAATTTTTTAAAAAATGGTGATTCACCATAAAACAACCTCATTGAAAATGATAACAGTTACCTAGAAGGTCAGACCTTGTTGCTGGTGGGAAGGACTCATTTTCAAGGATACAAAGACCAAGAATGGTGGTGAACAGTGTTTGCCACCATTTGGGCCTTGAGGTCTTTGTATGGACAGCAAGGGCCAAAAAGTCTTACTGAATGTTGCCTTAACATTGCCGGTTGCAAAAGGACACCCTCTATAACAGTTCAAGTTTCAGAGTACCAAAAATGTAGATCCACCACTGCACACAATTTATTATGTTATACTAAAAAAAAAAGGGTAGCCATTTTTATAATCTCCTTTGATGTCAGCACTCCATTCTGTCACAGATCATCAGATGCAATGGAATATACATGCAACCATAGCTACTACATTAATACTTGACATGTAAAGTTGTAAAACATTCATACTACTATCTTTGCTCATGTTAATAAATCATCATCACATACTTTTTCCATGTAATACTCACACACACATCTCTCAAAATATTTACCTTTCCTCCTGATACACCCTGTGAATTCATATTAGATTCTTTATCAATTAATATTAAAAGGGAAATTTTGTACTATAAATAGAGAATATATTAAAATTGTATTTGCAACTTTCTATGAAACTGGTTTCTATTATAAGCAAATAGATTAAACCAAAATTGTCCATATAACATTTAATTATGCATTTAATACAATAATTTGCTCCAACCTTCATCTTAGTGCACATGTTTCATGATAAGCAGTCACTATTTTTATTCAAAATTTACTATATTTAATATTACTAGATCAAAATAAAGATAATCAGGTTAATAAATTCAAATTATATCACAATTTTCAATACCAATCAGTAGGTTTACCAGTTTTCACAATGTCAAACTGGGACAAGTGATAGAAGCACCTCTCACTTCTCCCATTACAATGCAACATATTTAAATTCCCTCATACCTAGAAAAAATACTATTTTTATCACTTTTAACCAAAACTTATAAAGTGTTACTTAAATTAACAAAAAATAAAAAATAAATGAAATGGAGATAGGAATTCAAACAATGTAATCTTAAGGACAAAACCTCTATTTCCAATTAATGTACATAAATTTTTGGTACCTTTTCTCTAATTGGGACAAAATTACAAACTAGCTGAAACACTGGAATGTCATTCTGAAACTAGGACTTCTGGATAAACTATCTATCAGTCAATTCATATTTAAATTCTGATACATATTTCAGATACTCATACATCAGTAAATATTCTCTGCAATGTGTTAGAAAAATGATGCATCTTGTGAACTTTCAATGTAAATTGAGACAAACTAAAGCATTATAGTACATAATCCTCAGGAAAGCATAACAAGCAAACAAAAAAACTTTTCTTTATTAATATAGTGGGTATTGACTAGTCATGAAAATTGTGCTGTGAAATTAAATATAAATTATCCAAATAAGGTACTAATTTTGGATAATCCTAACAAACGGGATGATTTCACAACAAAAAACTAACAAGTATACACCCAGACATAATTACTACACTTGAATGATGATATCTGATAGATAAGCAAAAGATTAAAAAATTATTTTTCAAAATCATCTGTAAATAAATAAAAATATACTGAAAAACAAAAACATGATAATCTGTAATCAGATAAACAAAAATTCCATGGAAAAATCCACTATAGAAATTCAAGGAACCAACCTATTTATTTCCAATTAAAATTTTTTCAAGACGTTTTCATCTCATTATGAAATTGCACACTTAATAAATTTGAACATAAATGATTCTTAATTTTAAAATGTTACTTTAAAGATAAAGTTAAAATTTAACTAAAACTTAATATAATAAAAATAACTCTAGTAAATAAAAAATGTTAGATAGGTAGTATGGTAAATAAATTGTTCATTGTTACAAAACCAGCAACAAGGCTGATGTACAGGGACAACAAACATAATGTGCACATGTTTATGTTGAACAACTCATCAAGAACCATACCCACAAATCCAACTCATTCTATTCCCACTTGTTATTTAATACTGGGGTAGCACTGGTGACTATTGCCAGTTCTTCAGTTGTCTTTATTGCTATTCATAAAGTTGGATATAATAATATCAATAATAATACATGATTCTTCCCACCAAGCTTTTGCCCTACTGTTTGTGACAAACTCTTCTGCCAGAGCTTTACTTAACATTCTTTTGTGGGAATTTTCTAAATGGTCTTTCATTCTATCAGTGAATGTGTAGCACATGCTGCCTATGTAGCATTTTTTTTTCACCAATGCAGTTATTCAATCAGAACACTGTAGATGCCATTCATCTGATCCTTCTGATCTATCCTTGAATTTCTATAGCAATTGTTTGAATTTATCAACTTTAATGGAATTGATAATTTAAAGAAAGATTCCATGAAACATTGTTCAAAAAGAAGATAGTAACTTTTATTGTTTTAAACAGAAAAAAAAAATCAAATACTACATAACAATTGTTGCCAAATACAATAAAAAAAATTATTTATCACTTACCAACTGTCTTGAACAAAAAAGAGAATTTAGATATCAGGTCCTCTGTAGAAAGCAGTAATTATGTAGTTTAAATTTCTATTTAAAACAAAAAAGTATATTGGACAATGTTTCATAATGTTACAATTTTGGTCCTGTATAGATAGAAAGGAGCAAGTTTAAGTTTATTGAATTTCAGAATTAAAATATAACTGAAATATAAATATATGAAATACACTCTGTTGCAAAAAATTAATGCACCTTAAAGCTAGAGTGCAATACTAATCAAATTCTGGATGTAGAATGATGGTGAAAAAAAAAAATAAATTCAAACATTACAACACAAGGATATATCACTGAAAACAGTTTCATACAAATCAGAAATTGGCAAACTCACTCTGGCAATTAATGCAAACTGATCAATGTTGGAGATGGCTTTATAACTTACTAATATGCAACACTTGAGATTAAACTGTTATTCAATTATGTATTCTTGTAGAGCATGGGCAATAATTTAAAGCATTTTTCATTTTTTCACTACTATTCCATGTGCAGAATTTGATTATTATTGCACACTAGCTTTATGGTGCATTGATTTTCTTGCAATAGCATATATTTCAAAATGTTCAGACACTCTAAATTATAAAAGATTTTTAAAAATCTCAAATTTATTATATTGTAATATCATTTTTGTTCCATTCAAAAAATTTTTTAATCAGAATTTATGGAATGAATTATAATAATGCCTTTCCCCCCATCTTAGAGGGACATCCAAGCTTTGACATCCCAGATTTTGTTGAAATTTTAATATGTTTTAGTACACCCTTCCACTAACACACGATAAACATAATCATGCCAATGAACAGTAGTTTACAAGAAATCA